TGCCATGGGCTAGGCCTTGAAACACCCTGGAGCAGAGAATGATGGTCTGCAGTGACAGCAGCTGGATTGTCCTCTCTACCTTGTCTAGTACCTCTACTGTTAAATCAACTTCAGGGAATTTACTTCTGGTTTTCATTGGACTCACAGCAGAATAAGGCCCAGAGGAGTCACTCCAGATTTACATCAGAGTGAGCAATGGAAGAATAAGCTCCAGAAAGGGTGGCCTGCCTACCAGCTGGCTGGACAATCCTGGTGCACACTGAACCAGAGATATTTTAGGGCCAGGCCACCCTGTTGTCCTGGCTCATGGTGGGGACATCCTCCGTGCTTAGATCTCCTTTTCATAGCCTACAGCAACTGGGAGGAGGGAGTGCACAGGTCAGCAGGCAGCTGTCACAGCAGTCAGGAGGTGATGGTGCCACTCAGGGAAGTTGGCTGGGTTCATCTGACATGGTGGTGTAATGAGCTCACCTCCCATCCTCTCTTCCCCTCATCCTTTCTTCCTCTCTTCCCCCCCATCCCAGTCGGGCACATTTGTTGTGCTTAGGGCCATGGCTGGCTGGCTCACATTGGTTACCCCATCATAAAGACAAGGGTGCAGCGGTCAGGAAGAGGCACTCAGCTCAGTAGCCAGGTGCATTGTAATTAGGAGGCTCATGGAGGGCAATTTAAAGGACACATCCTACTCCTATCATGGTTGAATGCTTGCAACTCTCATTGGCCTCTGCCCAAAGAAGGGTGCATCCAGCATCTCACAGCATCAGGGTCTCAAAGAGATGCAGCTGGTATTGTTACTACTCACCCAGCACTGGAGCCCCTGTGGCAACCCTTGGCAGCATCCTTTGCTGCTAGGGAGACAGGCAGTGTCATGGTAACTGATGCTCTGTGTGTTGTGATCCTCGAGGCTTTGCCTTCAGCTGTCACGGGGGCATGACCAATTTGAAATATATGTGGTATGTGGATGGTCAAATGCACATCGAGGATCTCGTGGTCCTTGTTTGGGGAGTTAATGCTCATAGCGTGCAGCCCAGCCTGCTACCCCTGAGTGCGCAGCCTCTCCACACTCTTAGTTTCAGATGCTCCCTCAATGTTCAGCTCAGCAGCCCCACAGGATTATAATAATAATGCCCTGCATTTTGCTAGCACTTTTTTTTATCTGGGGATCTCAATGGGTTAGGGCAAATATAAACCTTATTGCAGAGACAAAAACAGGCAGAGAGGGTTGTGACCAACCCAAGCTCACCGAGTGATAGAGAAAGGAAGGGTACCCCCAAATTTCCCTCCTATTACCACTAAAAAGCATTCTCTAGCAGAGTTAGAAATAGAACCAAGGAGTCCTTTGTGTGGACACAAGGTTTGTGTGCGGTATCTGAGTGGCTTGTTCAAAGATGCAGTCTGTTTCTCTGATGGCATCCTTGTTGGGTGAAGGCATTTTTTCTAGATTGGTGAGGTGAGTGTTACAGGTATTCTCCATAGAGCAGATTTAGTAGCATTTGAAGGCCTGGTTATAGATTACAGCTTTCTTGATGAGTGTGAGATGATTACTAGTTTTGTGGAAGTACATGTGGTGGTCTGTGGATTTTTTTGTATATGTCCACTTACATCCAGAACAACATCCTGTATCTGGAAAGTTGACATAGGCTTAGGTTTTCTCTGGAAAACTTCTGATGGAAGGGTTTAAATTGTGATGGAAGTCAATAAGGGAATCTAGATGAAATTATCGTCTCTGTATCATACGCATAGTGCAGATTTGGTGGTGCATTTTTTCTAGAAACACTTCCTCAGGCGGTTCATAAAGAGATTGCCATACTGAGGGGTCAGCTTTGTACCCGTGGCTGGGCTCATGGTTTGGAAGAAGTGTCTGTTGTGGAAGATAAGGTGTTGTGGGTGAGGATGAGCTGCACCGTCTGTTGTGGTTGGAAATCTGAGGGTTGTCTTTGGTCTCGTAGGTATTTTAGGCAGACAGCAATGCCTCCATAGTGTGGGATATTACTGTGTGGGCTAGTGACATCTGCGATTGCAAGTACGGCCTTCTCGCGGAGGCGGTTAATATTGCAGATTTTGTGAGGAAGTCTGTTGTATCTCGTAAAAGCAAAACAAAACAAAACAAAACTTGGTCTTTGAGTTATGACTAGTTTGCGGCTGGTTTCTATGAACACTGGTAGTTCTTCAGTGAGGATACTGCAGTAGGATATGATGGATCTGCCAGGGTTTCCTTTATGCACCTTGGAGAGCAAGAAACATAAATGTTCCAAGAGGAAAGGGGGATTTGTTTGTGCAGTTTTTCTTGAAGCCAACAGGCAAAGGATTTGATGATGTCTGTGTTCAAGGTTGAACATGGCGTGGAGTTGTCCTTGGGTTCCTTGTAAGAATTGGTGTCAGAGCTGCCTGTCAGTCAGCTGATGCCCCTGACTGATAATATTACTGCTACCTGTTCCTGCAGCTGTTGCATGCTTCCTGAAGACCTCTCATGTGTATCCTTAGACTGATCATATGCAATAGGCTTCACACTGGTCAGGCATCTATATGGCTGCTTATGCATATAAGTCTTGGCATGAATAAGGGCAGGGGAGGAGATAGATGACACCTGGCATTTGAGTCTGCATTTCTCTGACATCTCAGCGGGGTTCTAACCCCCATGCCATGGGGTAAGTATTGTCCAAGTGCCTCTCCAGTTGCCTTTTGAAGCTGTCCCTGCACCTGACATTTGATGATCATTGAAGAGCATGGATGGATGACAGTAGGGGAGTTTCTGCCCCATAGGGAATAGAGTCCTGGCTGGACTCCAGGGTCTGATTCCCTCCAGGGCAGCAGCCATCCCACTGAGCAACATGCCCAAGGGCTTGTTCTCTTTTTCCTCATCCCACATATTTTCTTCTCTTGGCAACCCAGGAGACTAGCTTTGAAAAAGAGGCAGGAGAAGATCCAATCATGTGGCTGGAGTCCTGTGCTGAGAAGTCAGCTGCAATTTCAAACCCCCACTGGTTGAGGGGACTTAGTACTAGGTCTCCCGCTTTGGAGGGAAGTAGAGGATAAACGAGGGGCTGGCTGCCTTCTTCCTGCATTTAACATTTGGTTGTTTTTTTTGTTTCCTGGCTTTTGTGACATGCACACTCATATGCCCACTGTGGGTGCACATACATGTAGAAAGATGGGCATAGCCTATTGTGCATGCTTTGTCTATGCATACATACTTACACACCACAGTTCAGGGATAATCGAATCACAGTCTGTATGTAAGTGGCAAAAATGCCACTTATACCGGTGGAAAACTGACATTGAGATGCACAAAGGTAACAGAATTCCACCTTTAATCTCCTGCATCCCTACTGCTTAGACTAGAGTATGAGGAGTGCATCCGGACCGGGCCCAGACATTAAATTTGATTTGAAAATTCCTGGGTCTCCAACAGTGTTGTACTAACTAACTAATGATGGTCAGTTATGATTTCTTGTGTAGCGTGCACCTGTCACGAGTATAGAGCTGTTTCTTTGTTCTCCTGGGTTGAGGGACATCATCCTAAATCCACAGCCACTCGTGGAACTTTTGCTTCTCATCCCTAGGATGTGGCCACAATGCAGTTCTGTGCCAACAAGCTGGACAAGAAGGACTTCTTTGGGAAATCTGACCCCTTCATGGTGTTCTTCAGAAGCAATGAAGATGGGACGTAAGTGCTGTCCAAATGCTTTCCTCTTCACTGTACAAGGCCTCCACTGTCAGCTTCTATAGGAACTAGAGCCCCCAGCCTCTCTCTCGATCCCCTGTGGGAGAGACAAGCAAACCTGCTGTTAAGTAGGGGCTCTCCACCATGTTTGGTTAGAGAGAAATAGGGGCATCCTGTAGGTCAGAGTGTTTTCTGCCATCTAGCTGTGTCCGCCAAACTTGCCAAGAGCAGCACAGGGTGATCCTGGCTTGGTAGGAGGCCGCTGTTGTTGTCAGTCATTTGTGTAAGGATAAATGTGATTCAGCTCCCACTGGAGGCAAAAATCTCCCCCCGCCCCCCAGTGTCAGTGGACACTGGCGCAGGCTCTTATGTGGTGCCAGCAATGTGCATGGTGCAGTAAGGCAGTGGGGAATCAGGACTGTGATGCTGACATCCCCTTGGGTAGCTTTCATTGGCCTGGCAGTCTGGAAAATGCTGGTTAATGGCAAGATGGTGACAGCTGGGAAGGACTTGCTCTGAATTTCTTGCCTCAAATCCAGAAACACCAAGAATGGACTCTGGGTTGGCTGCAACCAATGCAATTCTTTCTACTTTGGGTGCTGTACTGGTGAGAAACTTGTCAGCTTGCATGATTTAAAGCATTGTTCTTTTTCCCAGACTAGGAAAGCCTGTGGGATTCAGTACTCACCCTTTACCTGATCCCCTCTGCCTCCTGAGATCATTTACGTGGGTGGCAGGCAGGTGCTCCTCTCACCAGCACGTGACAGTGTTAGTCTGCTGTTATTTTGCCCATGTGTTGCGTGGGTGTCAGTGACAAATCAAGGGGAATCTAGTCATTTCTATACACCAAATTTCAAAGTAGCTCCTGAAATTCCTAGTGAATTCTCCCTGGTATGCAACTCAATGGGGTAGATTAGAGATGAAACCAGACCACAATTCCTCTGGGTAATAGAAGCTTCTAATGAGGAGTGCGTGAGGCAGAACGAAGACATTCATCCCATTGATCTTTCTAAATCAAAGACAAACAGAGCGGGGGCAAGGGCAGCACTCCCCATTCTGAACAAACGCCACGAGCAGCTCTCTTTAAAGGCAGGCAGCTTCCCTGCTTGATCCCTCCCACCCTGGTCATTACTCTTTAGTTTGCTAATTAAAACACTGCACGCAGCCTTTGAGATGCTCCTCATTTATCACTCCAGGCCAGAGCCTTTTAGGCTTTGGTTGGCACCATACCTGTGGAGGTATGAGTGTAGTGTGCCAGCTTGGTCTGTTGCATGGGGAGATCCTGTATACCCATCCTGAGCATTACCCTGAGGGTTGGGATGTGATCCTGAAAAGCTTGAGAGACATCCTTCAGTGAAGGGTATCCAGCACCTGTAGCTCCTACTGGCTGAGAGCTCAGCACCAGTCAGGGTCAGGTCCTGGGCTGGGTCCAGAACTAAAGGGCTCCCCACTAGTGCCTGGGACAGGGCAGAAGGATTTTGGTTTTTGCCTGATGTTTAAAGCCTGTGTTTTATTTGGGAGGACTGGCTGAGGAGCTCCTCGGGCAGCAAAGCCTGCCTGCAGAAGCCAGCAGGCCTGGCAACCTACTTGCATTCCCCTGAATTTGGTGTCAAGCCCTTTGGAGAACATGGGATCCAGAGGGGATTCTCCAGCTGTTAGTGTTTGCAGGGCAGAGCAACCCTCCTGAGCATATCATGGCTCATCAGTCTCTCTGCCAGTACTGGTGTTAACAGGTGGGTTGGAAGGTCCCACATAGCCTGCAAACTCAGCAGTACAAAGCCTTTCTCCTGGACACTAGGAAGGTGGCAGGTCCCTGAGGATTAATTTATGGCTTGGCTGGATAATCACCTCCCGCTTCTTGTTATACCAGCTTCACCATCTGCCACAAGACGGAAGTGGTGAAGAACACACTCAACCCTGTGTGGCAGGCATTCAGCATCCCTGTGCGAGCGCTGTGCAATGGAGACTATGATAGGTAAGGAGCGTTCCCTTATAGCAGCTCACCCTACCAGCTCTAGGTTGGAGGGCAGTTGGGGTGGACATGGGTCATAGATCCAAATCATACAGTCCTCGGGCATCGTGCTCTTTTCCTTGAGACTGGCATGGGCCTCTGGATGGACTCTGTTCTGCCCCACCTTCAACCCCAGAATGGATTTTTTGCCTCTGGGTACCAAGGCTCAGGGGTATGTGGAGGTGCTCTGTTAAGTCCTAGCTATCAGCCAAACGTTGGCTGCCCGGTTGATGGCACTCTGAAAATGCCCCTAAAAGAGGCCTTTCCTTAAAGAGGTAAGGTAAGGAAAAAACCTACCCATTTTTAGGTTAAAAATCCACCCCAGTGACCACTCTGTACCCTCTTCCTTCAGGCTTGTTCACAGCAGTTGTAGCTGTGCAACTTCAAACAAAGCCTGACCCCCTGTAAACATATTCACAGACAAGAAGGCTGTTTGGTTTCAGGTGTCATAATCTCCGTGTCTTAAGTATAAGGGCTCAGACGTTAGAGATGGAAAGCTGTTAGGTGCCCTGCTCTTCCCTACAGGGAAATCTCCAGTCCAGGTCAGTTCTAGTTACTCATGTCAGGAGTCTTTTACCCACTCCAATAAAAGACTCTCCTATAATCAAAATACCAGAGTGCTACGTGACACACGTTGTGTCGTACAAAGGAATAGACTGCAAAAGAAGCTTTTCCTATCTAGATATACCACAGTGCCATAAACTTCTGAGATCTAAAGGGACACTCTGCACTGCAACTTCATGGGGAACTTCAGAAAGTCTGCCCATGTTTGAAATCTCAGAGCTCCTCAGGCTCAGATCAGTTCTAAATTGGTTGGCCCTTGTCTCATCTAGGCATTACCAGAGTGAGGGATAGGGCTGCTATCCCCTGGAGGCAGCTGCCTTCTTGCAGATGGAAGGAGCTCAGAGAGTGATTGATAGAAGGAAGCAAGCAGCAGGCATCTGACTTGGAGAGGCCTTGGAGGTGGATCATTTGCTATAGTCATGAAAGTCGCTAATGACTCTATATTTAAATCCTGCAACGAAGTCAATAGCGATACCAGGGAGCAGGGAGACTGGCTTGGTGATGGGTGATTGGCAGCAGTGCTAATCAGGGTAATAAGGGCACCTTCAAGTTGGTACTGTGAGCACAAAAATGCCAATTAGAGAGAGAATAAAGTCCAATAGGTACCATTAATCAGTGCAACATACTCTCCTCTCCGCCTGCCGTATTCATAAAAAGTAATGCCACACGCACTGCATAATGCATGTGTAAGCATGTAAGTGTGTGTGGGTGAGAGAGAGTCAGCTTTAATTACAGACTTTGCCATTGTAAATACGCTAATATTTATCTTGGATTATAAGCTCTGCCCCACCATCCATTTACCAAGCTAGGTCTATAGCAGCTGTTCCTGGAGACAGTAAAAACCTGGAGAGCAACCTGTGAACCACCTCAGTGTCTGAGTATATAATGGACATCTAGCATGCCAGCTAGAGGAAATATGGCTGTATAGATAAGGCACTAGGCAGGGACTCAGGATATATAGGTTTAGTTCTTTTCCCTGCCACTGACTTACTGTAAGATCTTGGTCAAGCTACTTATTCTCTTTGTACCTGAGTTCCCCATTTCTGATACAGGGTAGACTACTAAAGCTTCCTTTGTTTTGACTGTAAGTTCTTTGAGCAGGACCTCTCACCACGGGTGTGGGCAAGACCTGGCACACTAGGACCGTGATCCTGGATTCTGTAGCTAATAAGAATAAAGTAAATGTATCAAATAACAAAGATGGATATTACAAGGGGTGTGTGTGTGTGTGTGTGTGTGTGTGTGTGTGTGTGTGTGTGTGTGTGTGTGACTCACTGCTGCTGAATATGAGTTGGGACATTGTTATTCAGTTATGTAGTGGACTCTGAAACACTTCCAGTAGCGTATTTAGCTGGGGGAGTACCTGATCTCTCTGTGGGAATCAGCTGCATCTCTGCTGCTTCTCTTTCCTCTCCCATGTCATTCAGCTTTCAGGAGCTGACAGCACATACCATCTCTTAATGCCTCTGCCTTTGTCTGAACTGATTCTCTTTAAGTGTTTCTCTCTTCTGGGATTTCAGCAGTTTTACTGCAAGAGCTTCTTTAAAAACAAATTGTTAAGAGAGAGTTCAAGTACCTCTCTCACTACTGGGACTTCTGTGATATGTCTTTCTATGGCACATCGCTTCTTAACTCCTTTAGGGCCATATACTGGTGGTTCTCAAAATGTTTTTGGAACTTGAATTAAGTGCCATGCCACCTCTTTGCTGTATATAGTGTTATACCCATTTTAAAGACAGATAGACTTAAGCACAGAAAAATGAAGGTTTCTGTTTTTTGAAAGCATCCACTGGTTTAGGGACTTCAAGGTAAGAAACCTAGAACTTGGTTTTCAGAATTGCTGTGTGCTTGACTTCAATGGGGAACTAGATGTACCCATGATGGCAGCCAGTGGATACTCACACCTGCCACCTATGACCATTTTGTAATCCTAGCCTGTGATGGTATGTGGAGCTCAGAAGTACAAGTCACCAGCTCTCCTCTGCCTCACACCCCTCCTGCACAGTCAGAAGGAAATTAAGCCTTTGGCAGAAATGAAGACATCTCAATCCCTCTGCTTGAAAGGGAACCTGGTGGAGAAGCAGAGAGGTAGCTGTGGAGTGTCCAGTACTTCTGGAAGGAAGATATATTGCAGAGAAATTGGAGAGTTGAAATCCTGCTGACTGGCAGAAACTGAATAGCAACAATTCATCGCAGCATGAGCATAGAAGGGACTGCAAGCTGCTAAATAAATTCATTCAAAATTTCTTTAGGATCAGGAAGGATTTTTACCCCATGGTCAAAT